GCTCTTTGAAAGTCCTATTTGGAAATGCAGTCTACTTGGCCCAGCAATTTATTGTTGTCTCCATCCATTGCCGTCATTTCCTCTGCAAAGTGAGATACCACATTTTTCAAGGCAAGAACAAAGTATTTTCAGAAGTGGAGGGGATCCAGCACAAGCCATGAGGAATTTTAGAACCCCTGTTCAATTCCTCTAAAGAAATGAAAAGACCTCTCAAATTGAATTACTGCTGAAACAATCTGGCAATTACATTCTCTTATAAAACTATACAAAAGCCTGGTTTGGCCACATCTGGAGCATTGTGTCCAGTTCTGGTTGCCTCATTACAGGAAAGATGTGGAAGCGTTGGGAAAGGTGCAGAGGAGATTTTCCAGGATGTTGCCTGGAATGGAGGGAAGGTCTTACGAGGAAAGATTGAGAGAGCTGGGGCTTTTCTCTTTCGAACGACGAAGGATGAGAGGTGACTTGATAGAGGTGTACAAAATGATCAGAGGTATAGATAGAGTGGACAGCCAGAGACTTTTTCCTAGGGTGGAGGTAGCTATTATGAGGGGGCATAGTTTTAAAGTGAGTGGAAGTAGATATAGGGGAGACGTCAGAGGTATGTTCTTTACTGAGAGTGGTAGGGGTGTGGAATGCATTGCTGGAGAGGGTAGTGGAGTTGGCCTCATTAGGGGCATTTAAGTGGCTATTAGATAGGCATATAGATGATAGTATAAGGTAGGGGTGGAGGTTAGATAGACCTTAGGTTTAGGGTAAAAGTTCGGCACAACATCGTGGGCCGAAGGGCCTGTACTATTCTATGTTCTTATGAACTCATGTTACTGACGAGAAGTTTAGTTTGAAAGGATATATTTATCTTCTCAGTAACTAACTCAGAGGCAAAGTAAAATCAGAAATTCTGGAAACGTTCAGTCGGTCAAGCAACTTTTGTGGAGTAAAACCATTATTTTTCAGGTGAATGGTGACTTAAGAACAAGTAGATTCATGATCAGGATATTGATACAGTTTTGTTTCTTACATTTCTTTTACATTAAGGAGGGTACCAATGCTGACTTCTCTAAACGTCAGCCTCTCTGCTCCTATGATGCTGCTTGGCCTGCTGTGTTCATCCAGCCCTGCACCTTGTTGTCTCGGATTCTCCAGCATCTGCAGTTCCTACTATCTCTGATTCTCTTTTTATCTGTTTTGTTTTTGCAAGAAACACTTCTCAGGAATTACACCCGGGGAAAGAAAAACTTCTGCGTGAAAACTCATTAAAGCAGTCCTTTGTTCCCATCTTTAAGCATTGTTAAAGATTGTTCAATCTTTAAGGTTCATTGAACATTATGGAGATTAGACTATGTTGCTATTGCTGTGACATATTTAATATTTAATTAACATTTAGAAAAAAATATAAATTTTCATTCAAAATGTAAATGTGATAGCCTTTGTTCCTCAGTTAACTGGAATGTCAATCTTGATTTTTGGGCTGATAATTTTTAAAATGTTTTTAATCATTGCATTGATTAACGATTGATAAGAAAACACTATTTCTCTGCTTTTGGAAACAACTTTCAAATTTTGTCAATGTATAAATTTAAGGTGGAGTTTAGTTGTTCAATGTTAAATTTAGACAACTTTTTTTAGGTTATTGAAAAAGCCTAACAGTAATCTAAAGGAAGGTCACAGAGTAAAATGAATGTAGTGGTTCTACCAGAAACTGAATAAAATTTACAACGTAGGAACAGAATATTTGGCCCAACTGATCTATGCCTCCTTTCATCATATTCATCCTAACCTATCATCCTGTCATGTTCAATACTCACTCACTCTCATGTACAAAAACTTCATTTTATGAGAGAAATATAGAATGTAGGAGAGGAGCACATCATTCAGTCCTTTAGGCCTGCTCCTCCATTCATTATTGATCATGGCTGGTCATCCAACTCAATGGCCTGTTCCCGCTTTTCCCCCATACCCTTTGATCCCTTTAATAGAATGTAGAATGATGGATCCTTTAAAGTATTATTGTTTTGGAAATTTGAATTCCAAAGTAGAGTTAAATGAATTTTTATGGTTTTCATTCTTTGAATGTCTCTGAGTCTTTCTCAAGGGTAAGAAAGACAATTTTTGAACGAGTAAAAACAGCAGTAATCATTGGCTGATTAACCCACCAATCAGAATGGTTTACATGCCAGGTAAGAGAAAATTACTGCTGATGCTGGAATCTGTACTGAAAACAACAAATACAGGCGATCACAGCAGGTCAGACAGCATCCATGGAGAGAGAGCAAGCTAATGTTTCGAATCTAGATGACTCTCATTACAGCTGAAGTGAAGGGTGGAGGGGGCAGCATTTGTGCTATAGTTGGAAGGGGGTGGTGGGATGTGCTCGAGCTCCCCCAGCACTATCGAACTTTCCTGCGCCAGTTATAGTATAAATGCTGCGCCCTCCACACTTCACTTCAGCTCTGATGAAGCGTCATCTAGACTCAAAAATGCTCTCTGTCCATGGATGCTGTCTGACCTGGTGTGATCTCCTGTATTCATTAGTTTACACACGAGATTGATTGTCAACAGTACTGATGGTCCTGACTTTCAGCTTACTTACGGAATGAGCTAGATCCTCCAAAGAGGCCCTGGTCCCAGTGACTGACACCATCATCATACTTAACTATTCAGAACTGAAACAGCAAATGTGTTTAATTTTGTCTTCTATTAAATTTCCAATTAATTTGAAAATGATTACAAAGTCAGCGAGAAGATCACATTCATATAAATTCTAATAATAATATTTGATCTAATTAAGACATCATTCTGAATTTTTAAAAGATATTTGATTACTGGCTGTCAGTTGCGAGTCCAGCATTCGTGGGTCCACCCGTAAATGCCCTGGAGAAAATGGTGGTGAGATCCCACTTTGAGCTGCTGCAGGTCGGAAGGGTTTTGAGGAATGGGGAGAAGGTTGGGTATAAGTTTATTGGTCAAGGTGTTCAGTACAAAAGCAGAGATGTGACATATATGGGACATTGATGAGGCCAAAGCTGAGGTTTTATGTATAGTTCTGGTCACCACCCCAGAGGAAGGACATAATTTCTTTAGAGACAACACAGTGGAGGTTTACAAGAATGTTGCCAGGGCCTGAAAATTGCAGCTTTGAGGAAAGGTTGCATAGGTTTGGGGCATATTCCTTACAACAGTACACACTAAGGGATGACTTAATTGAGATGTACAAAATAATGTGGAGCTTCAATAGAATGGAATAAATTGTTGCCCTCAGCAGAGAGAGAAACAATCAGGGGCACAGATTCAAAATCATTAGTAGAAGGATTAGAGGAGGTGTGAAGAAAACCTTTTTTCACCCAGAGGGTGGTGAAATGTCTGGAATTTGTTTCCGAGTTTAGTGCTTGAGGCAACCACCGTCAACTCATTTAAAATGACAATGTATTTGCATCTGAAATGCTGTAACCATCAAGGATCAGTTGCTGGAAAGTGGGATTAGAATAGGTAGCTAGTTTATTCAGCTGTCAGAGACTGATGGTTCCTTTCTGTGGCGTTGCATTTCAATTGTTCTAAGATGGTGTCAGTGAATGTTTGGTAATATACTTGAAACGTGAAGATTTTAATACAATCACAAACATGAGCCTGATTATCTGATAGCAAGACAGTAATTTCTGCAGTGTAGATGGCAGTTGGACATTGGAACCATGTGAAATTGTTGATGTAGTAAACTCCCAGGAAATTGCCTGGTAAATTGAAAATTCTTTTGTGCAATTAAGTAGTTAAGTAAATCGTTACCCAGGAAAGGTTGGACAATTAAAAACTCTAGTCCAACTCCTCCTTAACTATTAAACGGTTCTCATAAACCACCTCACACCCCTCCTAAGCAACACCGCTTGTGACCCCTTACATCCCCTGGACACTGAACCAAATGGCAATTCTGACCCCCACTGGACATGACACCTTTCTTCTCCCCGGGATCCGACATCCCACTCTGAAATCCCACCGAGGACCTGATGGGCACAATATCCCCCACCCACCTGATTTACCAGAAACAATACTTTACTTACCTGGCACCTGACCCAACTGGCACATTACTTATCTGCTGCCCTGAAACCCTACCCATCTGACACCCTATCCATCAGGTATCCTGGCACACAACTTCCCTGAAAACCTAATCTCCCACTTACCTTATTTACCAGCAACTGATCCTTGATGGTGCTGTCACAGTGGCTATCTGTGGATGCTGAGCATTTAAATCACAGATTGCAGCAACTATAGCTGTAAGAAAAGGGCCCATGATTTGCATACCCCTGACTGTCCTGCTCCACAAGATGTCTGTCAAGTTTCACTTTTCTGAGAAAGCCCTGATGGAATCTCCACTCAGAAATGTGGAGCTTTTTCTTAATGCAAAAAAGAAGAACAGAGTGACAATCTGCCTGTGATTGCTACTGTTTGGAACAGCTTTTTATTTCTCTTTACCTTAAAATGCATTGCTTGAGATATTTAAGATGATAACTCGGTGAAGTTTTATTGTTGCAGAAAAACATAAACAGATGAATAAGGATGTTTAGTCCTTCATCCTTGAGTTAACTGATTCAAAATCATGCACGAGGCCTTAAAAATGACACAGACCTATAGCATGGTTTTGAGAATATAAAAGTTTAAAAATTGCTATCATGCTTACGTATCTTAAAATAGAAAGTTGAAAAACCTTCCTGAGTTGGTGGCATTTTGTGACTTTCATCTGATCACTTGGCCAATTTAGCACATCGAGTCTGGCCCAAATGATTTTAATCCTGAACAAACAGAAAACATGGAAGGAAACACAAATGTGTGTGTTTTGGATGTTAGACATGCTAAGAATTCCGAAATCTTTTCTGCTGCTTTAGCTGCTTTGTGCCCAGTTTATTCCAGTAATGTTAACTTAAGCAAGAGGAATGTTATGCCTGTGACATTTAATGCTTATTGGCAACAACGGCAATCTTTTATAGTCCTAATCATTATTATTTTTTTCCCAGTAAAACCTGGCCCTCCCACTCTCCAACAGTGCCATTTTGGAGAGTTTGCTTGTCGAAATGGAAGATGCATTCAGGAGCGCTGGAAATGTGATGGTGATAATGATTGCTTTGATGGCAGTGATGAAGACCAAGACATCTGCTGTATGTTTTGAATTGTACAGCTTGGTGCTTCTTTTAGTTGCCGACTCATTTGAAAAAAGGGAATAAATTAGATTTGAGCTTTACTTTATTAATTTGTCACCTTGTGTTCTATGTCCTGGTCAAATTTAATTAAAATAAATAATATTGCTTCAATGTTTCCATTTTGAGATAAATTATCAAACCTTAGGGCAATTTTTTTAAGATTCCTGAATTCTTAAAATTGACAGCCCTATCCATCATACAAGTGTAGTGTTTTATTATTCAGCTATTCCAGTTCATCAAAAATAATATGAGTATTGTTGGCACAACTGCATTGTTTTGTATGCTTTATTTTGATGATTTGCATTTCATGGATAAAATGACAGCAGTTTTATAACCAACTGGGAATAATCTATAAGTGATAAACATCTATATAATAGTGGGGAAAAGTTACAAATAAATCAGAGTGGAATGTGGCTTCAAGTTGGTGCTATAAACCATTAGATTTTAATATTATAAACAACTTGCCTATAGTCAGTGACAGGATAAAATTATGAGATAATATTCAGTGGAGAAATAACAATTCATTAGAAACAGCTATTTTGAACTGAAGACAATGTATAATTCATCTATCTGTTTTATCCAATGTTCATATTACAGATTTATTTTGCATTCATTAACATATTACCTACAGCCTTCTGTCTTGACTGATCAGCCATAATTTTTTTTTGCTAGACAACAGTACATGCCCTGTTAATCACTTCAGATGCCAAAATAATCGTTGCATTCCTAAAAGGTGGCTGTGCGATGGAGCTAATGATTGTGTCAACAGTGAGGATGAATCAAACGAAACTTGTTCAGGTAATTTCTCAGGATGATTTATATATAGTTTGTTGCAATGTTTTGAGTCACAGTGAAAATTGCATTTGATGACATTCCAGATGTAGAATAGGATTTAAGCTGTGAACTCCTCATCAAGCTTTGGGCATTTTTTCTTACCTGCACTAATTCTTTATAAGTATTGTTTCCCCCATTCGAATATTAAACAAAATTGAGAAAGACACCAAAGGTTTGATTTTCTCTCCAGTACAGGAAATGTCAGCACTATTTCTGGTCTTGAACCTGCCTTGACAAGTAGAAAACAGTCACTGTTTTGAAGTTTCAATGAAGTATCCATTAATTGGCATGAAGAGGAGCTTCCTGCCCAATGATGGGCAGTAAGTAGGCTCCAAAAACCAGCAGAACAATCAGAGTGCTTCCAGCTTGAAGTAACTGCACAGAGGATGGTGTCCCGTCACCAAGTCACCCTTTATTTACTAATGCACAGTAAACTGAATGTGATCAGCCAGCTTGGAGTCAGTGCCCTTCACTGAGGAGATTCTAAATCCCCTGTTTATCTTGGCCAACCAGACCTTTCCTGATTGGCCCAGGTTAATAACCCCAATCAAGCACCCCATAGTTAACAAAGTCCACCTGGTTCCAATCACGAAACGGCCAAAAAGGAGCAATAGCTTGTGTTGACTGCTAAGTAACTGAAAGGACAATACGAAATGACCATAGTGTTTCTAGCCTGGAAATGGTCTCATTATTTCACCAGGGACCAGCATTTCTCTAACTTTAATTAATAAACAGCTCCTAAAGCCAGGCCACTTACAGACAAGCAGGTAAGAATGCTGGCACTCTGGTCTGCTGCCATCTGCCTGCCTCCAGGCAGGTAAAATGCCCCTGCTCATTTGAGAAACTGTAGAAACTGTATTGAAAAATTACTGTGGGCCTCTTGCAATCTCTGTTCAACAAGGCTAATTCAATCTCATCAGCTTCCTGTTACATGAGGACAAGAAGCACTGCTGGCAATAAGGGCCAGTGAAAGAAATGGATTGAAGAAACTGATAACTGGCCAATGCCAGTTTTCAGACCCTCTCCCTGTCTGCTCAATGGGACCCAATAATCCTGGCACAAGAGTTTGCAACAAATGGAGTTGTTGCTTTATGCTGCAAGAATTTTTATAATCATTCAAATATAGAGGGGTAAAATGTATCTTCAAACTAAATAATGAAGGGATAGGTGTCCAATTAAGATTCATAGAACATAGAACATAGAACATTACAGCGCAGTACAGGCCCTTCGGCCCTCGATGTTGCACCGACCTGTGAAACCAATCTGAAGCCCATCTAACCTACACTATTCTATTATCATCCATATGTTTATCCAATGACCATTTAAATGCCCTTAAAGTTGGCGAGTCAACTATTTTTGCAGGCAAGGCATTCCACGCCCTTACTACTCTCTGAGTAAAGAACCTACCTCTGACATCTGTCCTATATCTATCACCCCTCAATTTAAAACTATGTCCCCTCGTGCTAGCCATCACCATCCGAGGAAAAAGGCTCCCACTGTCCACCCTATCTAATCCTCTGATCATCTTGTATGTCTCTATTAAGTCACCTCTTAACCTTCTTCTCTCTAACGAAAACAGCCTCAAAACCCTCAGCCTTTCCTCATAAGACCTTCCCTCCATACCAGGCAACATCCTGGTGAATATCCTCTGCACCCTTTCCAATGCTTCCACATCCTTCCGATAATGTGGTGACCAGAACTGTACGCAATACTCCAAGTGCGGCTGCACCAGAGTTTTGTACAGCTGCAACATGACCTCATGGCTCCGAAACTCAATCCCTCTCCCAATAAAACCTAACATACTGTACACCTTCTTAACAATGCTATCAACCTGGGTGGCAACTTTCAGGGATTGATGCACATGGACACCAAGATCTTTCTGCGCATCCACACTACCAAGAATCTTACCATTAGCCCAGTACTCTGTATTCCTGTTACTCCTTCCAAAGTGAATCACCTCACACTTTTCCACATTAAACTCCATTTGCAACCTCTCAGCCCAGCTCTGCAGCTTATCTATGTCCCTCTGTAACCTGCAACATCCTTCCGCACTATCCACAACTCCACCGACTTTGGTGTCATCCGCAAATTTACTAACCCATCCTTCTACTCCCTCATCCAGGTCATTTATAAAAATGACAAACAGCAGTGGCCCCAAAACAGATCCTTGAGGTACACCACTAGTGACTGAACTCCAGGATGAACATTTCCCATCAACCACCACCCTCTGTCTTCTTACAGCTAGCCAATTTCTGATCCAAACTGCTAAATCACCCTCAATCCCATGCCTCCGTATTTTCTGCAATAGCCTACCGTGGGGAACCTTATCAAACGCTTCACTGAAATCCATATACACCACATCAACCGCTTTACCCTCATCCACCTGTTTGGTCACCTTCTCAAAGAACTCAATAAGGTTTGTGAGGCACGACCTACCCTTCACAAAACTGTGTTGACTATCCCTAATCAAATTATTCCTTTCTAGATGATTATAAATCCTATCTCTTATAATCCTTTCCAACACTTTACCCACAACCGAAGTAAGGCTCACTGGTCTATAATTACCAGGGTTGTCTCTACTCCCCTTCTTGAACAAGGGGACAACATTTGCTAGTCTCCAGTCTTCTGGCACTATTCCTGAAGACAATGACGACATAAAGATCAAAGCCAAAGGCTCTGCAATCTCCTCTCTAGCTTCCCAGAGAATCCTAGGATAAATCCCATCCGGCCCAGGGGACTTATCTATTTTCACACCTTCCAGAATTGCTAACACCTCCTCCTTATGAACCTCAATCCCGTCTCATCTAATAGACTGTATCTCAGTATTCTCCTCGACTACATTGTCTTTTTCCTGTGTGAATACTGACGAAAAATATTCATTTAGCACCTGTCCTATCTCTTCGGACTCCACGCACAACTTCCCACTACTGTCCTTGACCGGCCCCAATCTTACTCTAGTCATTCTTTTATTCCTGACATACCTATAGAAGGCTTTAGGGTTTTCCTTGATCCTCCCTGCTAAAGACTTCTCATGTCCCCTCCTGGCTCTTCTTAGCTCTCTCTTTAGGTCCTTCCTGGCTAACTTGTAACTCTCAAGCGCCCTAACTGAGCCTTCACGCTCATCTCCACATAAGCCTCCTTCTTCCTCTTGACAAGAGATTCAACTTCTTTGGTAAACCACGGTTCCCTCGCTCGACCACTTCCTCCCTGCCTGACAGTTACATACTTCTCAAGGACACGCAGTAGCTGTTCCTTGAACAAGCTCCACATTTCAACTGTGCCCAGCCCCTGCAGTTTCCTTCTCCATCCTATGCATCCTAAATCTTGCCTCATCGTCTCATAATTGCCTTTCCCCCAGCTATAACTCTTGTCCTGCGGTATATACCGATCCCTTTCCATCGCTAAAGTAAACGTAACCGAATTGTGGCCACTATCACCAAAGTGCTAACCTACCTCCAAATCTAACACCTGGCCTGGTTCATTACCCAGTACCAAATCCAATGTGGCCTCACCTCTCGTTGGCCTATCTACATACTGTGTCAGGAAACCCTCCTGCACACATTGGACAAAAACTGACCCATCTGAAGTACTCGAACTATAGCGTTTCCAGTCAATATTTGGAAAGTTAAAGTCCCCCATAACAACTACCCTGTTACTTTCGCTCCTATCCAGAATCATCTTTGCAATCTTTTCCTCGACATCTCTGGAACTTTTCGGAGGCCTATAGAAAACTCCCAACAGGGTGACCTCTCCTTTCCTGGTTCTAACCTCAGCCGATACTACCTCAGTGGACGAGTTGTCATCAAACGTCCTTTCTGCCACCGTAATACTGTCCTTGACTAACAATGCCACACCTCCCCCTCTTTTACCACCTTCCCTGATCTTACTGAAACATCTAAACCCCAGAACCTGCAACAACCATTCCTGTCCCTGCTTTATCCGTATCTCCGAAATGGCCACAACATCGAAGTTCCAGGTACCAACCCATGCTGCAAGTTCACCCACCTTATTCCGGATGCTCCTGGCGTTGAAGTAGACACACTTCAAACCACCTTCCTGCCTGCCGGTACACTCCTGCGACCTTGAAACCTTATTCATGACTTCACTACTCTCAACCTCCTGTACACTGGAGCTACATCCCCCTGCTGAATTAGTTTAAACCCTCCCGAAGAGCATTAGCAAATTCCCCCCCAGGATATTGGTACCCCTCTGGTTCAGGTGTAGACCATCCCATTTGTAGAGGTCCCACCTCCCCCAGAATGAACCCCAATTATCCAGGTTTCTGAATCCCTCCCTCCTGCACCATCCCTGTAGCCACGTGTTCAACTGCTCTCTCTCCCTATTCCTCGCCTCGCTAGCACGTGGCACAGGTAACAAACCAGAGATAACAACTCTGTTTGTTCTAGTTCTAAGCTTCCACCCTAGCTCCTTGAATTTCTGCCTTACATCCCCATCCCTTTTCCTATCTATGTCGTTGGTGCCTATGTGGACCACTACTTGGGTCTGCTCCCCCTCCCACTTAAGGATCCCGAAAACACATCCGAGATATCACGGACCCTGGCACCTGGGAGGCAACACACCAGCCTCGAGTCTCTCTCGTTCCCACAGAATCTCCTATCTGTCCCCCTAACTATGGAGTCCCCAATGACTAATGCTCTCCTCCTACCCCCCCTTTCCTTCTGAGCAACAGGGACAGACTCTGTGCCAGAGACCTGTACCCCATGGCTTACCCCTGGTAAGTCGTCCCCCCCAACAGTATCCAAAACGGTATACTTGTTATTGAGGGGAATGGTCACAGGGGATCCCTGCACTGTCTGTCTGTTCCCTTTCCATCCCTTGACTGTAACCCATCTACCTTTTTCCTGTACCTGAGGTGTGACTACCTCCCCTTAACTCCTCTCAATTACCCCCTCAGCCTCCCGAATGATCCGAAGTTCATCCAGCTCCAGCTCCAGTTCCCTAAC